TTTTTGAAAAGGGATAATTTTCTCGTGGGTAGGGGACGAAGGAATGAGGGTTTTTAACGTGCGAGTGTCCGGGCCGAGCAACCCGTGAGAAATTTGGATAATTGGGACTCAAACATAATCAAGTCGCAAATATCCTATTTTCTCGCAGCGCGTACGTGTTCGTGCAATCGTGCTCCTCCTTCCCTGACTTCCTCGTCTCCATCTTGGTGCGCGATCGGGCGCAACCGCGATCTGGTCGGATGGAAGCAGCCATGCCCTCGTCGTCCAGCGAGACAGAGGAGACCGGTCCTCTCGCCGGAGTAGTGCAATCACCGGATGATGCCAAGGACTCCCTCGCCGCCGCCGCCGCCGCCGCCGGAGCGTATGCGAGCAATTAGCTCTGGATCGCCAGCTTATAGAGGATTGCCTGGACCACTACAACCGTCTGCATCCGGTTCGTGCCTTACCGATCTGTGCCTCTTCTTTATTTAGGCATTGTCTTGATGTCGTCGGATTCATCTCAATCCACGTACGTTACATTGGAGTGGAATAAAGATGCTAATCCGACTACATTTTTTTTTTTATAATTCGACGGGGATAGAGAATCCCCCACCTGGATTATATTAATGTGGCTATGACAGCCAAATGTTTGAAATACAAATTTCGCTACAATTTTGCATTACAATAACATTGCCGTAGCTAAAATGGAGCACCATGCATCCGCAATTTCCTTGTCTTTCTTTGGTAATCTGGCCTTCCATAGGCCGGCTTCTAACTTGCACTCCGTCAGCGCTCCCGTTATTGTTAACCGATCTTCTCTGAACACTGCGTTGTTCCTCCTCTTCCAAATGTGCCGACAGCAGAGCAACAGGAAGGTTCCGAAGTGCTTGCTTGGAATATGGTCTGGCGATCTGATCTCATACAGTTTTTGAACCGGCCAAGTTGCCTGTGTTTCTATTTGGACAGCTGCCCAGAACTCCTGCGCCGCTGAGCATCCAAAAATGACATGGGCCGGCGCTTCCTCTGCAGCCTGACAGATGTCACACACCGTTGTGTCCACAATTTTCTTCTTGATCAGATTTGTTTTGCACTGGATTCTCCCATTTGACACTAGCCATGCAAAGAATCTCACTCTCGGTGGTGCTCTGTTCTTCCAAACAAAGTTTGCCCAAGGATCCTGACTTGAATTGGCTTGTTTGAACGTCTTGTATAGCATAGTGGTATCTAGGTCGCCATTCCTTTTGCACAGCGGACTCTGCCGTCGGTCTGCGGTCTGTAGCTGCACCTAATTGTTGCTGCTGTAGTAGCTGTGTTACTTCAGATAATTGGAGCAGCGCTGCTGTCGATTGTCGAGGCGCGAGGCTGGCCTGGAGGCCGCCCTCGCATGCTTGCTTGACTGTCATCTCTTTCATTCTGGAGTGACTAAACAACTCCGGAAATCTGTCCGACAATGTGTCATCTTTTTTTTTTAAACACGACTTCATGTGTATTTCATTAAGAAGGGTAAACAAAACAAACAGCAGCTATCCCGGTGAGCTGCCAAGATAGGAAAGTTCACAGTCTTACCGAAACGAGCAACCGGACAGACACAGGCATAGCGGATTACATCTCAAAAGCACGGTGCGACGAGCGACGAAAACACTAGACAACAGAAGAAACGACCAAGAACTCAGCGATCGCCACGAACCCGGCGGCGATCCACTGGTCGGTCTCCTCCAACACCAGCTTCGCAACCCTCATCGGACCGTGGGCGCGGAGTTGTCAAAGGTACGCGTGAATTACGCTCCTTCCGAGCCGCCACGAGACCAGGAGGATGGTGGAATCGAATCCCCTTCGAAGCTGCGCGGGCACAGAATATCGGCCATCCATCCACCAGGTCGATAGAGGAGAGTGAGCAGAAGACGACAACTGCTCCCAACCGCTAGGGCGAAGCAAGCAAAACCAGAGTTCCCTTGTGAAAACGCAGGAAGCGAGCAGGGCAGATGGTCCATTGTCTCGTCCTCCTAGCCGCAGAGGACGCACTCCGCGGAATCCTGAAGCCCATGCCTCTTCCTGCGATCCACCGTCCAAATGCATCGATGGAGGCGAGCCAGAAAAAGAATTTCACCTTCAGTGGCGCCAAGGCCTTCCATACCTCCCTGGCACCCAAGAGGGAAGATATTCCGAGGAAGAACGATCGGTAGGACGACGAAGCCGAATAGACATCGTCCGGAGTCCAGCGCCATACGAAGCGGTCGCCCACGAGCGGCCTGAGCTGAACGGACTCGAGTTTCTCCCAAAGGTCCAGGTACTCATACAGCACTGGCGCAGTGTGAGCTCCAGAGATGTGGCGCACCCATCTGTGCTGGAAGACGGCGTCCTTCACCGAAGTCTTGAGGAAACGTTTGCCCACGGCCCCGAACAAAGTGCGGGGCGAAAGCCTTGATCTATCCAGCCAGCAACCACGCATCTGTCCAGAAGCGAGCTGAGACCCCGTCCCCCAGCTCAACACGTACCGAGCAACTGAACATGGCGTCCACCAATCTCTCAGGCTCAGAGGGCAATTGCGTCCAGGGCGGTGCACCGGGCTCTCTCTTCTGCCACTCCCATCTCAACCTGAGTGCAAACCCGAGAATTCGAAGGTCCGGGACCCCCAGCCCACCATAGCATTTGGGGGTACACACCACCGGCCAAGACACCTTGCAGCTTCCACCGCCGACCGCGTCAGTGCCGCTCCAAAGGAAGGCACGCCGGCGCCTGTCGATCTGCCTGATTGCCCACGCCGAAAGGGAGCACGTGATGGACACGTGCACCGGTATGGCAGATAGTGTGGCGCGGGTCAGCGTCGTCCTTCCTGCCACATTCAGCAGCTTGCCCTTCTAGGTAGGGATACGACTGGAGATGGCGTCCACTAGCTTCTGCTCATCCGAGCGCCGCAGCCTCCCGACAGAGAGGGGCGCGCCCAGGTAGCGGCAGGGTAGGGGCGAAAGCTGGCAGGGGAACGCCTGCTGAACGAGTGCGATGTCCTCCTCGGAGCACCGGATCGACGAGATGAGACACTTATCCAAGTTCGTGATCAGGCCGGATGCGCCCGCGAAGAGGTCAAGGATGGCGCGGATGCAACGGAAATCCTCCAGTATAGGGGCTAGGAATAGCACCAAGTCATCCGCGTAGAGCAACATACGCTGGTCAAAGTGGCTCCCGGGTAGGAGGGATAGCAAAACCCGCTGGTCTGCCTCTGCAACCATGGCGTTGAGTACCTCCATAACGAGCACAAACAGTAACGGGAAAGCGGGTCGTCCTGACGCAAGCCCCGTGCATGACAGATCCTCCGGCCGAGGCGGCCGTTGACGAGCACCTTCGTGCTTGCCGATGATAGAATCGTTGCCGTCCAGTCCCGCCAGGACTGTGGGAAACCCATATGCTCCAAGACCTCCAAGAGGAAAGGACAGGCCACCGAGTCAAATGCCTTGGCAATATCAATTTTTAGCAACATGCAGGAGTGGTGGTTAACATGCAGCCAGCGGCGGTAGAGTTGCACAGAGCGGAAGTTGTCGTTGATCCGCCTCCCCTTGATGAACGCCGTCTGGTTCGGCCGGACCAGCGAGCCCATAAACGGAGCTGGGCGCAGCGTCAGGCCCTTGGACACCAGCTTGCCGAAGCTATGGATCAGGGCATCAGGCTAATGGGCCGGTAGTCCCTCAATCCGTTCGGCGCGTCGTTCTTCCTCAGTAGAACCATAGACGCGTCATTGAGGAGGTAGAAGCTCCTCCAATCCTGCTGCCAAAGGCAGTTAAAGGCATTGCAAATATCATCCTTGATGACAGCCCATGCAGCCCGATAGAATCTGCCGGTGAACCCGTCCGGGCCAGGCGCACGGTCCGGCGGGGACTCCGATCCTGGTGACCTCGTTCTGCGAGAATGGTTCGGCCAGCGCCTGTAAGTCGAGTATTGGCAGGTTGAGGCGTTCCAGGTCGATCCGATGACTGCGACGAAAACGCGTACCCAGAAGGTCGTTGTAATAGTCGAACACCACCTCAGACTTAGCCTCCTCAGAGGTGAAGGTGTGGCCCTCATGCACCAACGTGGGAATATAGTTCTTCCGCTTTCGATGGCAGGCTTGGACCGCTGTCGCGCGATGGTCCTGGACAGCGATGATAGGCCCAGCGTGGCTTCCTTGAGATCACGGCGCAGGTCGAGCTCCTCCGGCGAGAGCTGTCTGGTCTCCTGTGCGACGTCGAGTTCGAAAATGATGACCCGAGCCGCAGCCAACTGAAACCGTACGTTCCCGATCCTCTGTGCGCTCCATGCTTTCAAAGCTTTGGCCACGTTGCGCAGCTTGTACTTGTAGTCGATGGTCCTGCAGGCGTCAAGCCCGGGCGGGCAGGTCCAGGCGCCCGCGACCACCTCGGCAAAGCCTTGGACAGATGGCCAGAAGGCCTCAAAGTGGAACCGGGGCAACGCCCTAGGCTCCGTGCACAACAAGTTTTTCCCGATGACATGCGCATGCATATCTCAGCGAGCCCGGGGAGGAGCACCGCCTCTTGTCGCAACGAGAGAGAGAGAGGGGTTTTGCCGCGGCGTATAATTATACCTCTGGATGGTACGCGGAGGCGATGGAGTCGTCGACCTTCCCGCCTTCTTCCTCCGCTCCGCACCTTCCCACCCTCTTCCTCCGCCCCGCTTCGCTGGGAATGGCGAGATCCCGCGCTTCCTGGGAGTAGAGAGGCACAGGAAGGTTCTAGAAAAGAGAGAAGGGAGGGTCAGGAAGGGGAAGAGGGTTTAGCGTCCGGGCCGACCGATCCGATCCGTCTTGTTCACCGACTTCCCCGTCGTCTTGGTCTGACCAGCATAGACCCCCGTCTATCTTCGGTGGGCTGTCTGGGCCGCGTGTCCCGTGTCCGGGCCGGTCGCCTTTCTTTTTTCGGTTCGGAGAATATATTATTATTTATTAATAAAAAGGGTCTTTTCCTCCCCCCCTGGGTCGCACCAGGCCAAGTTCCTTCTAACGCTAACCCTAGCAGCAACCGATCGGAGCAGCCATGGCCGCGGAGACGGAGACGGAGACGGAGACTAGTCCCCTCGTCGGAGTCGTGCCAGCGCCGGATGCCAAGGCCCCGCGCGCCGCCGCATCCTTGGATGTGGAGGCCCGCATCCGCGCCATGCGCGCCGCCGCAGCCGAGGAGAGGGAGAAGATGTTGCTTCCCCGGCCACGGCCAGCAACCGGGCCGTTCTCTCGCCTCGCGCGGCTGTGGCGCCGGTTCTTCGTCCGATTTGATCCCGACTCCATCCCCGTCTGTCATCCGCTGGATGACGAACAGCTCGAAATGCTTGAACGGTAACTCCTCGCTCCATCCCCATCCATCCGATTCTGGTTTTCGCTTTCGCTTGAGTATGTTATAATTCAACCGTGTTCTATTTCTGTTGAAGACACAAAACGCCGGGGTACTTCAAGCGATTAGCTATGGATCGCCAGCTTGTCACGGAATGCCTACAGCACTACAACTCTATGCATTCGGTTCGTGATCTATCCTACATTACGCTTTGCATATACCCTATTTGCATCGCACGCACTGATTAAATGGATGAATGCATGGCAAACTGCCCTGTCACCGTTCTGAATTGGGTTAACCATAGGCAGCAATAGAATATGAATGAATCACCAATACATGTGAAATATTCTATTGTTTCTGTTTGACACATGAAAACCAGTTAGCAGATCTTTCTGTTTGACACAACTTTGGCAAACTTTTCTGGCAATTTTTTTTTTAAAGGCTCAAAGTTGGGTTGGGTACTGTCGATGGCCTAGTGACTAGCGACAAGTATAGAAGAACTGACTTAGTAAGGGAATGGACCAATATGCATACTGTGTCAGCCAATGTTTGGGGGGTCAGAAGTCGGAGTACTGCTAAGTTTTAACAGTTGTAGCTGGTAGTTTCCTTACGTGCTGTGGCTTGGGCTGCCTCTCTTCCTGGACCCTGGGTGCCTAGGAGAGATGGATTTAACACTACGTTTGCATGGTTTGTCATACGTTTCGCAAAACTCTGTAATTTCGTTGCGTTCAGTAATGAAATTTGGTTTCGACCGTGGTGGAAAAAAAGTAAGGGAATGGACCAGTGAACTCAAATCATTCGTGCTTCTTTATTTATTTGTTTGTTTTTCTGTTTACCTTGCTGCACTTACCAATTTCCTTACCGTGTGAATGATGATTGGTTGAGTCAGGGCGATGAGTATGAGCCTGCTCCTGGCAAGGTGTCTCGGCATCCCCATTTTCACAATGGCATTTGCTGGACTCATGGAAACTTCGTGGCTCGTAAGAAGCGCTCTGGTTGCTTCTCATTCCTGCCTGCTCCACGGACTCTCTTCTTCTTCGAGCTTGCTTATAGAAATGGTTTCCATGGAGTCGTCACTTGCACCACCTTAGGTATCATCTACTTCTTTCCAGCTTGATGCATTCTCTCTCTTGTTTTTCTTACAGCACACCTATTTCATATGTATTCATTGGAAGATCATTCTCGTTTGCTAGTGTCTAATGTAGAAAAAAAAGGGAAACACCATAAGATCCTCATTAGAAGGCATGCACGCCATATCCTTACCGCTGAATACCCAAGATTCACCTTTGTGCATATTTTAGGACCCATGTTATCGTAGATCATGAATGATGCATTTGATGACTATGATTTGGGAAGTAACAGTGGCGCAAAGGCATACTCTAAATTTTTAGCCACTTCCATGTGGCCACCACCTCACACATTGCTGCTGCCCACCTTTCCCTTCCTGCACTTGCGTAGTTTTATCGAGAACAAGAGGAAGTGATACAATTGGGGACCGTCTTTATAGTTTGTATACGGTGTATTTGCAATTAGAATTGTTGAACAATTATGCTCTGTTTGCACCTTTTTATATAATAAACAAACCTGATTACTGCCTCTGCAGAAATTAATTTCTGTCTCCTGTTTTCAGATGAACCAGTTACTGAAGCCTACAGTGTCTTGGGTTTCCCTCTTTGGTGGTCTGCACGTCGGACTGGCATATGTATGAACCCCCAACCCACCCACCCCACACACACACGCTTCACGATTGTTCACTGGAGTTATTTTATGTAGGAAAATTATATGGCTCCTTTAGGTAAAAAATATATATATGTATATTTTTTTTCTACGAGCATCCTTTAGGTAAAATATTGTGTTGCAATGTTTCAGAAAAATCATGCATGTACCAAAACCTAAGTTAATTGTAGACGCAACAATTCAGTTTGAAATTCATCTTTGATGTTGAGATTCAAAAAACACAAGCGTCACTGTCATCACAAGATGAACAGTGCCAGCCTGACTGCTTGTCTGTCTATTTCCTGACACCTGATTTATTGCAACCATATTTAACTTTATGTGTAGTACATACATGATTTTTGTGATGATTTTTTTGAAACATTGCAACATGATGGTGCTCAGCTGCACTTCTGCAGCCGCAGCTGTGGCTGTGGCTGCTTGATTTGCACAGTGGTTACTGAGTGATGCAGCACTGCAGAATAATAACTACCGATCAGAGCAGATATTTTACCCAACAGTGGGTGCCAAATCTGCATTTTTTTAAATATATTGCCTGGCTTTCTGCAGTTGATTCCATTTGCAAGACATGCTACTGTCGCTTTGATGTTCCACGTCCTGGCATGCAGAAGATGTTTGCGTGTGGACATAACAATGTGGGGAAAGTCTGTGAAATGTGCTATCGTCGCTCCCATGTGCTGCATCCATACCCAGGAGAATTTGCGTTTGGCTATCATGATCCTTACCACCCCTACTGAGTGCTGAGCACTGATACTATCGATCGCTGTGGATGGGAAACTGGCGTCGTAGCTTACTAAATACTCGTTTTATTTGGCTTGCTGGTTGGAATGACTATGTAAGGAACTTAACGTGATGATCTTTTTCCATGTATTGAGTAACTTGAAGCTACAAATTAACCAAGTTTCTATGTTACTTGGAAAACTGTTTGCATATATGCTTCTGCTGGAAACGTGTGAAAAATGTTAACCCTTTCCACTGCTGCATTTTTTATTTTATTATTAATCTAGAAGACTTTGCTGATGTGATTTCGGGTCATCTACCGATGATGTAGGCTGCTTATAAAGTTGACTTCTTGGAACGCTAAATAGTCTGTTTTGTAATGTCCTACATAATCGAGCAAAGAGTGGTCTAAGTGTGCCTTTAGCTTCTAAATCAGATATATAGCTTTTGGTTTTTGAAATCAAACTGTTTATTCCAACTTCTGACTGCACCAGCCAAAAGGGGATGGATAATTATCACATCTTCACATGTTCTTGCGAGCGTTTATTCCAACTTCTGAATGATTTTTGCCAAATTCAGAGCTCAATACCAGTTAATTTGATAGAGTTGGTAGTATATAATTTTTGCCAAATTCAGAGTCTAAAGTTCTCTTTAGTTTTTTTTCTGTTTTGAGTAAAACAACAATGGCATTGCCATGAATTAGTTTCCTGCACAGCAGGTCAGCAGCAGTGTTGTATTCCCTGATCCAAATTAAAATTATGTCTGTAGCTTTTGTTACACACTTTAATATACATTGTAGCCCGATATATAGTAAAAATTCGTAATTCGAAATGCTAAAACGACTTACAATTCGAAACAGAGCCCTTCAATTCATAACATGAAACTCAATATATTACTGCATAGATTTTGGTGATTCAACTAAACTAAAAAACTGTGCTGCAAAACGAGCTCTTAGTACTCGTGTAGTGTACAAAGAACGAACATGGATCGACTTCGACAGGCCAAGGAAACAACCTAATACATGGAGACTGAACTGATTTGAAGAACTCAACACACGGCGCGGCTATCAAAAAGTCATCAACAACCTATACGAGTAGTAATTAGCAATGGGACGGAAGAGATGAGAAGAGACATGCAGAGCGAGGGGTGAGCACGAAGGATGCGCATGGCAAGCAAGCATATGGTGGTCGCTGGAGACACGCACGCACGCACGGCGAGGCACGGTGACGATTCACTCATGGCCAGGTGGTGAACTCGAAGACCTTGCCGACGATCTCGAGTCCGGTGGGGATCTGCCAGACGAAGAGCAGCACGTTGACGGCGTTGAGCGCGATGTGGAGGCTGCGTGCGGTCTCGTCCCCCTTCTGCATCGCCGGGACGAGCGCGGCCGCGGCCGCCCACAGGACGGTGATGGCAGCGCCCGCGAAGAGGTGCGGGCCCGGGAACAGCTTGCCAGTGCGGAACCAGGTGTTGAGCGAGCCGCCGACGGACTCGAGCACGCCGAGGCCGAGCAGGATGGACCCCGCGTTGAAATGCCGGTCCCGGAACGACCCCTTGATCAGCGCCTTCCGCTCCTCGGTGAGCTCCTCGATCTTGATCTCCACCGGCGATTTGGAGCGGGAGGCGGGGAGGAGTCCGCGCCGGCTCCGACCGCGGCGGGAGTGGCGGCGGGCTTGAGCTGCTTCTTGAGCTCGTTGACCTCGTCCTGGATGGTTCGCACCCGGCGCCACTGCCAGCCGAGGTACCCCGCCCAGAGCGTGTATGCGAAGAGCCCGCCCATGACGAGCGGGTGCAGCAGCGCGAAGCTCCGGCCCTCCAGGATCCCGAACTCGCCGCCCACCGCCAGCGCCTCGTCCGGCGGCAGCGCCAGCAGCGCCGTGACCGCCGCGGCGACGGACGCCGGCGCCACCGCCTCCAGGCGCAGCAGGGGAGGAGCGGTGACGGTGGTTGGTACTGGTAGTAGATGCGGCCTGTTGCTGTTCTTGGACGTTGGTGGGGGCCCGCCGGTACCGGAGGCGGTGCAGGTCACCGGGAGGAGCCGGGCCCGGACGGCCGTGAGCGGCGCGGCCATGGCGCTGCTGCTGCTGCTTCAATTCGCGTAGCGGCCTAGCGGGCAATGGTCAAGGCCGAGGCGTGGCTGGCCGGTGAGGCGGTGACTGGTTGGTGGGGGGATGGAGGGCGGGGGAGGAGATAAGGCGATCGACCGAGTGGACGAGACGACAAGTTTGCTCTGTGCTGTGCAGTGCCCCAGTGCAGGCACAGGAGGCAGCGTGTGCTCTGCTCGCTCTCGTTCTCTCTGGAGGACCGGAGAAGAGCGTGGCGTGGGGCACGCGAGGCGACGTGGCGTTCGCTTTTTGGTTGCCGCAGTTTTCCTCGTGCGGTGCGGAGGAAGCCGACGACGTGGCCGATCCATCTCCCGCGCGTGGCGGCGTCAGGCGTGAGAGGGAAACGAGACCCGGGCCGGCCCAACTGTAGGTCCACCAGCCGGGGCAGCCCATCTGTAGCAGCGCCACGATTTACGTGGTCAACGGCCCATTCTTCGATTCTTTCTTTCGATTTGCTACGTCCAGGTCTCTTTCTACCCAGCCTGCTACTGTACTTTGCACCCCCCCCCCCAAAAAAGGAGGAGAAGATATAATTAACCTATTTCTTCCCTAACGTTTACTCGGCTGGCTGGCTGGCTGGGCTGGGGCTCGCCAGCCCACTCACACGGGCACTGTTTACATAAATAGTGTCTTCTAGTTAGAAGAGTATTTTTCTCTTACAATAATTCAACCGGAACAGTATTTTAGCTTATTTTTCAGGCCAGCCGAACAACCCCTAATTCGTTATGTTCCTTCCTATAGCAGGTGACTGACGGCAACCAGCAAGATGCCTGCTCCAGCGTTTTCAAGACATGCGAATGGTTATATTTCCAACGGCAAAGGCACCCGTCGTTCCCTTACCATATCCACCCTATGTATATAGGAACAGTCCCAGGCTAAAAAAAACCCAGGCTACTTAAAAAAATGACGCTCGAACTGATCTTTGTATATCATATCGCAGCTTCAGGTACAAGTAGCCTACTATGGCTGTGTAATGGCACCGACTATGTGTCTATGTACCAGCTGTTTACATAACCACTCTCCGTTCATTCTTCAAAGAACTACATACATATGTTCGGATGTGAACTACTAAGTACCATACTCAAACCGGTATTCTTATGTTTTTCGGTATTCTTATGTTTTTTCATACATCCAGCATATTTCCTCCGTCTTCAAAATGTTTCCTGACGCGCGCAAGGGCGCACGCCTTCTACTAGTATATACTAGTACTAGCACAGAAGGCGCGCTCCGCTGCGCCGGCTTTGTCCTCGGACTTGCATTTTGTGTTTGCATAGGAAGGTGAGCCAGACACTTTTGTGAAAGCCGCAGCGGCTGCTGGAACAGTGTTTTCCTGAGAGGCAAAACAGCCACAGCCACAGCCACAGCCACAGTGATGTAGTCCAGCCGAACATGGAGTCGTTGATGCATACAGCAGCACATATATACTCCGTATCTCACTATGTCCGTTTTATGGACCCTCAAAAAAACAAACTCTAAGATGTTTGTTGGGCCACAACATAGCAATACTGATCAAAGTGTAATTCTATTTGACAATCGATATAATACTGTAAGTAGGATTCAAATGTTTCATGCACAAGTAGTCTAAATACACATATGACAACAACAACAACAACAACAAAGCATTTAAGTCCCAAACAAGTTGGGGTAGGCTAGAGTTGAAACCCATCAGAAGCAATCAAGGTTCAGGCACGTGAATAGCTGTCTTCCAAGCATTCCTATCTAAGGCTAAGTCTTTGGGTATATTCCATCATTTCTACACATCTGACAATATAAGTTTATTTTTTTCGCCACTGGGGCGACACCACCATCAGTTCAGAAACTATAGATTGATGATAGATGCTTGATCATGGCATGATATTTGGTGCTCGCCTATCTTTGGAGACATGAGGAGACCAGTCTATTCATCAACACAGGAGTATAGCCAATGCACTATGGCAGCGTCTGAAAAAATCGAGAGCTGATCAGGTAATACAATAGGCATAGTAGATCAATTGCTGTGCGTAAATGAGACATGATTTAAATGGATAGGAAACAGCCATAATGAAGGAAATCGAACATTATATTAATCTATAGAAGAACTGGATTAAATTGGATTATTGTGTACAAAAAAGGTAGAATTAGGTCAGGGGAAAAGGAAATAAAGTAGTGTAATTTTTTATACTCTGTGTAAGATCACTTATGGCCAAAAATTTTAGTGGAATCGGAATGACTCTCCAACTCACCTTAACAGAAGAGGAAAAGCAGCGCTAAACAGTAAAAAAACCAAGTATTTTGTTTTAGGCCTAAGGAACCTGGGGTATGCAAGAGATGAATCTCAACATGAACCCTCAACATTGGCACTAAAACAAAGAAAGTAAAAATATGACATTGAATAGATAATCGAGACAACCATGTCCAATACAGATTTTAGTAAACCAAGGGCAAGTCTATGCAAAGAAATAGAAATAAAAAAAGAACAGGCCATAGTAACCTGGTTATGTGCAGGTCAAATCTTGCCATTTTTTCTTCATGTATCTGCAAAGTAGATCGCAATCAGTATGACTGCGGAGGCACTGACAGTATAGTAGTTTACCTCCAGTAGTAAAAAATAACTATAATCATAAAATAGAAAAGAAACTGATTTCAGCTAGATATAACATAATGTCTCACATAACTACAGTCAGGAAGCTTTTCGCCCTAAGGGCTAAGTTAGAACAAATGGTTGAGTGCAATTCATCAGGAAATACCAAGAGACAATATTGGCTCAGTTGAAAGAATATAACAATAACCTGCAAGAATTAGTTGAAATAAGAAACGCAAAGAACATATGGGGAAAATAGGAAACAGAAGGTTTCATGCTGTCATGAAAGGAGCACCAACTCCTATAGAATAATTTAGTTGTGTATAGCACATAATAATAAGATGATGATAGCTGGACCATCCAAACTAATATCACTACATTTTTATGTGATACATACATCTGCTAAATATAGACACCTGCTACTTTTTGTAACACTTTCAAAGATAGGTCACATGTATGTTTTAGTTATTTAACATAGCAAGATCCCTGCAAGCGAAATTCATAGCATGGCATATGGCCAGCATGTTTAGTAGCAACTAAATTCGTAGCATAGCATGTTTGTTTTCCTCCAGGCAACCAATCGATTGTTAAATTTGCACTTGGTAGGTTACATAGGGCTATGATGTGTGTGAAGATACGATAAAAAAAATGGTTCGTACAATGTACCTTTGGCTAAACGTATCTGGGCACTGGTTATGATAGCTGTGGAAGTAACGATCCATGGACCATGGTTGGTCATAGCAGGGCGGCAGGATGAAAGATGGGTCTGGCTTCGGCGACCTGAGGCCGTGGCAGAGGAGGGAATGGAGCAGCGTCGGCTCCAACGCCGCCGTCGCCACCACCGCAGGCCTTGCCGACCTGACCCCAAAGACACCAGCTGGTAGTTCAGCCAGGATCGTGTGGGCTCTACACCGTCTGTCATGATGGCGTACACCGACAAAACCACCTCCCCAGCCGTGGCGTGTGCTATTGTGCCTGCTTTGGCAGACATGTGGAGTACCTGGCCACCCCATCGTTGCTGTCGCCGCCTCCTGTAGCGGCACAGGATCTAGAGCAGGAGCAAGAAAACAAAGAGAGGTAGGGTGGGAAACCGTAGGAAGCGGAGGAGCCGAGGAGTGGATGGACGACGTACCTTCACCGCATTACAAAGCATGCTAAAAAATTTCCAACCTATGACGATGATATTTGGCTATATCTGCTATGCTTACAAGTTTCCCCCTGCCGGAGTCCTTTTTAGTAAAAAAAAGAAAAGAAAAGAAATCGCTTTCTCTTTCCATTCCGTGACAAATTGTCAACAGAAAGTGTAAATGCTCTGATGATTCCACGCTCACACTATCACTGTTTTGACAGGAAATTAGTTACTCCAGGTTTGGAGGCTTGACTCTTGAGAGCACCAACATTTGCAGGAATACACATAATTCGCATAGTTATTATTAATTACCTTATTATTACCACAGGAAGTACCAAGTACGCAGTACATCGAAGAAGAGCCACCACCGTAATTCATCATACAGTAATAACCAACCAACATGACGAGTGGTAATTTTAATTACAAAACAAGGTAATTAAGCACGAAACGGTCACAGTAATCACGGCACAGACTAATACACGTGCGTGGACCAAGACCAATGCATCGATCAATCCGACGACCGGCGGCCGGCGGCGGTAGAAGGAGCACCAGCAGGGCCGCCGGCGGCGGCGGTGGCGTGGTCTTGGCCACCGGCGCCACCATCACCGTCATCCGCAGCAGCAGCAGCATCGTCTTCCATGGGCGCCATGCCATCGCCATCCATCATCCGCAGCTCGTCGGCGATGGCGTCAGCGAGCCACGCCTCAGCGTCGGCCATGATGCCAGGGCTGAGCCGTATCATGAGGACGCAGAACTCGTCCTCGCTGAGCGCGCCGTCGCCGTCCGCGTCGCCCTCCCGCACCATGGCGGCCGCCTCGGCGGGCGCCATCCCGGCCACGCCCAGCGCGGCGGCGGCCCCGCGCCGCAGGCTGTCGGGCGTGATGGCGCCCCGCGCTGGGTCCGCCAGTAGACGGAACCCCGCGCGCAGCTCCGCTAGCAGGCCCGCCGTGCCCAGCCGCTCCCCCATCACCGGCAGCAGGTCCTCGTACGCTGCCGGCTCCTCGCTGGCGCCGGCGTGGGGGCGGCTCGCGGACGCCGCCATGTGCGCGCGCGCGGTTCTGGTCCGGCCTTTGGGTAGCTAGCTAGCTGCTGCCGTGCGTGCGACGGGCGCTGCGGGCGGGGAGGAGGAAGCTTCGGTTGGCTTGGATGCGTGCGCGCGTGGGTTGTCATGGGCTGCTGGGCGGGCGTGTGTTTTTAACGATGGAAATGGAAAGGTTTGGACGCCGCGGACGGCACGAGCGAGGACGGCCGCGCGCGGGCGGCTCTCTTGGTCGGCGAGCCAGCTCGTGGTTGATCCAGTCACTCACATCGTCACCTCCGGCAGACCGGCCGGCGTTGGAATTCTCTCTGCTGGACTATATATATAGTTAGTTAGCATAAACAATGAAGTTTTCAATTTTATCTTAAGCTAAACTAGTATCATAGATCTGACCAAGTTTATGTGTGTGTGTATAAATGAACGAATATTGCCAGAATCCATGATATTAAATATGTATACTATTAAATTGTTCATGAAATATATATACTTACCCACTACTATTGTCATAAATTGTCAATGAAGCCACATATACTATGTGAACAGTGCTATGGGTACAAGAGAATGATACGATGCTGGTGCTGGACCTGGAGCAGGACAAGGACGGCGTAAGCGACGTTAGGACCAACACCATCAGATTCAGACATGAAGGCGAGCGAGCGAGCTTCCTGGAAGCTTCCACGAGCTTAGCTATAGGGGAGATCTTTTGTACACACTAGATATATATAGCATCTTCGATCAAGAGCTCTTCTGGTCCGTGTCCGCCCACGTAACAGTTTTGCTGCAAAAACTTAGCCGCGAGGTCATATTTCGATCCTCACCTAATTTGATTTGTGTGTGTAGTGTCTATAGTCATAGTTTTAGCATGGAGACTGTCCTTAAGACTAACGTGACTTGAAATTAGCTTTGGTTTATACTCCTTCCGTCCAGGAAAGAATGTAATTCGAGCACAGTATCATGGTTTTGTATCTTATAAGTTCGATCAATTATAGATAAAAAAATATTAATATTTATGATATTAAATAAATATCATTAGATTACTTATGAAATGTATTTTTATAATAAATTATTTTGAAACCGTAAATATAAATAGTATTTGCTAGAAATTTGATCAAATATGAACTACTTTTACTTGCACGCAACGTAGTTGTATTCTTCACTGGACTGAGAGGGTAGTTTTTTTTCTTTTCTTTTTGCTGGGAGTCCGGGACTGTACTATCATGAGCACTCGTAGCATTGCTGCTGCTGCAGCTAGCTACGGATTGAATGCAGTCATGGAGAGGAGAATATATGGATCATCAGGGTGATGTGACGACAATCAGACAATGGATGCACGGTGGATGTGCGTCGCTGTCCAAGGAAGCTTCCCAGAAGGCAGCAGGACCGCCTGCCTCTGCCTTATCGCCGCCGCCGCGCCAAAGTTTCCGTAGAGAAACAACAACGACCAGTGAGCAGTGACTGCGCTAGGCGGCTCTAGATGCAAAGGTGTTTAGATGAGATCCAGGAGAAGAACGACTTTATTCCTTTTAGGGCCTGTTTAGATCTTTGAACCGAAATCTATTCTAATAATCATAATTTAGACGATCATAGATCAATTAAGATAATATGATTGTACGGTGAAAAATATACTTGTATTGGCTATATGTGGCAGATGCTTATGTGTTGCATTTCTACGGTTAGAGAGCGAGTCGAAGAGCATGTTATAAGTTACAGATCGAGTAGAAACATAGCATGATAATCTATATAATCATTTTCATATTTCACCCTATGAATTTGAGATAGCTAAACTTATATGTGAACTTTAGAAAACTGTTGAGGAGTGAGTCGAAGAGCATGCTATATTTGATCTTAAAAGGTCATATTATATTCGTGACGTAAGCCGAGCCATATCTGGGTTGGGTGTCGACAGAATATCGTCGGCAGTCCTCCGAGAGGTATCCCACGAAGGTAAATTGATCGGCAGAGGTGCGCGTAATCAAGAACAAGAAGGCAACAGAGACACAAGAGTTAGATAGGTTTAGGCCGTCTGCACGACGTAATAACCTACTCCTGTGGTCTGTTGGTTTGTATTGGCCATCGTATGATATTGCGTGTGTTTTGAGGGGTCCCCTACCCGCCTTATATAGCCAGGGGTAGGGTTACAAGTCGGTTAGATCTAGGAGATAACCGGTAAGTAAAAACAAGTTACAGAAATCACAGGATCGAGTATATCCTAACAAATCTCGTAGCATCTTTAGGATATCGCCCTTGAAGTCTTGCGGTACATGCCGGGCAGTGCCGTGCACCGTCAGTCTTCGTCTTGTGGACTGGACCACCGCTGGCGGCGCAGCCCATGTAGTCTGTCGTGGGTATCCGGGGTCGTACCCCCACAGCTAGTTCCCGAGCGCCTTGTATCCGCTGTGCAACGTGGTCTTGAGCTTATCCGAGTAGGTGTAAACAAAGCCGAGCAGTCAGACTCATAGTCCAACCACCCTAATGAATCACCGAGCAGTTGTAGACCATAACCGACCAGCTTAACTGTCCGACCGAGCCCGAGCTTACACAAGTAAGGCTTGCTAGAATGATGTAAGGAGCTCAAGTTCAAAATCAAAAAATTTCTCGCTGTGAACCAAGTGTGTCCACTTAGAGTCCGACCACAAGAAAGGGAGATAATCTTCTTCAACTTCGGGAGGCATAGAGTCTTCCAATGAACAGATTAAAGAAAAAACACACTCATCGAAAGGTGAAGTGTGCCCACTTAGTCCTCGAGCCTGACAGTAGGTGACGTAGTCACGTGGTGCCAGGGTCTAGAAAGTAGAAGAAAAACAGAAAACCAGCCGAACGGGCAACCAGTCCACGGGCTGAACCCTAAAACGAAAAGCGCACATTCACCGCAAGGTGAAGTATGCCCACTTAGTCCCCGACCCTAACAGTAGGTGAAGTAGTCACGTGGTGCTAGGGTCCAAAGTAGTAGTCTTCAGGTGATGGCCCAATCCCCAATGTCACTGGAAACCAGTGTAGAAATAAATACAATCATCGCGAGATGACGTGTACACACGTAGTCCCCGAGCCTACTAGAAGATTTTGAAGATATCTTGTAGGAGGGTCAAGGAACTTTTAATGAAAGCTTGCCAACGTCATCTGCCATGTACTTCATAAGACCCCGGATGTGCTACCCAAGATCAGCACCCTTATCCGAACAACATGGAGCAACTTGATAGCACACCGATGATACATAGCAAGATACGACCACCAAGGGAGTCCCCAGCTTAGCTGGAGATGCTTGCACGAAGAATTCAGACACCGAGGAGTCCCCAGCATAGCTGGCGAGCCCCAGCGTAGCTGACGATGAATCCCATGTGATGAGCAGTCCAACCAACTAGTTGGCGGCGAAGTGAACGCTGAGCAGAAGTGAGTACCGGGTAGTCCGACCAGTTGGTTGGCGATGAAGTCCGTCCGATTGGTGGTCCAGCCACCCGGACGATGACCATCGTGTCCAGTCCCTGAGCGTAAGCTCGTTGACCGAACCATGCCCCTGCGAAACAAATGTGTAGAATGGGTAGTACATGATGTAAAAATAAAATATATGAACTCCGGAGAAGAATCAGCAATGGTGATGATATAGCGTATGCAGCTCGACGATCAGTTGGTGTGAACACTTAGTGTTATTCTGAAGATGTGTTTATATTTAATATAAACCGTCCGACCAGTTAGTGTGTAGCCGAGTCTCCAACCTTAGCTAGCCTGTTAACCATAACGCGGAGCACGGAGCTCGTGTGCGTGTAGGAAGAGCAGGGCATTGCTAAGGAGCCGCTGCCGACCACCCCTAACGCAGAGGGTGGGCGCTCGTGCACGTATAGGGAGAAGCCAGAGACAGGACCGTCTCTGAGAACATCCGAGCATCAACATGGTTGTTCGGCGATTTACCTTAGGCTTAGTTGTATGTCATCTTTAAGATGGTATACATGAAAGAAAATCGTTTGGAGAACAAACATGGACAAAACAGCTCAGATAAACATTTTGGAGATATATCAAGGTTGAGGAATATTTAGAAAAATATTAAAGCATGACTTAGCTTTAGACAGAACATCTGGTCGGTGGCGTATGGCGTTATCTGGTCGGCGTGTACGAAATTGCCCGGCCCTCGAGCTTTCTAAACTGTCATCATGGCGGCGGTCACGGTTGTCATCATTGCAACGTGGCAGGCGCTCGAAGCGAGTAGTCCCGATGATGTCATCCTTGTGTTACTAGTTGGCGACGCGGGCAGCTCGCTTGATGGCTCAGACGGTTCGTTTGATAGCTCGGACAAGTACGCGGAGTCGTAGGCGAACGGACGTAATCAGAGCCTGACGGAGTTAATCCGTGTGGGGAGGCGAAGTCCTTGAGCATGTTCGACCGAGGCGCGGGCGCAGTCCAAGATCTTCCTTGCATGCCTGAGATACGTGAGGTTGCCAGCATCTTTGGTGGAAACACTGCTCCACATCGCGTTATCGCTGGCCGTCTTTCCGGATTGCTGGTTGTCGTGATCCACGGAAACGATCTTGCGTATCCGATCAGAAATCAAGAACAACAACAAGATGTGATTAGGTTTCTCCCAACCGAATCATGCAGACATACGGATATATCTGGAAGTATAATGATAATATTTAATTTGGAAGCGACTTAACTTAGCTTTCTTAGATTGCTTGACTCCGATCTTGTTGTCGAGTGTTGCGTCTGTTGGAGGCGCATGGTTAGCGTTTCTGTTGACGCGAGCTGCGCGGTCCTCATCGGCTTCTCCATCCCATGGAGGGTTGTCAATGCCGACATTAAAAATCCCGCCTCCATAGAAGGGTGGAAAAGGAGGTTGGACGGCAGTGGTTTCGACGACACTCTTCGTAGAGCCATGGGGCTCAGAGTCTGGATTTTCATCCAGAATGGTGTGGAGGGATTCTTCGGGATGTTGGCCGATTTGTAGCATGTTGATAGTCGGCGAGAGCTGATCGGCGATCGGGTCGGCGAGAGGATAGATGTCTCCAATTTGGTCA